TTATGTTATTTAAAGAGAATGAGCATGCAAACTCGTTGCAGTGAAATACAAAAAAAAACAGGTTATTTAAATGAATATCAAACGGAAAACAATGTGAAATACTTTTGTTTTTCTCGCTCTCGGAACTCATCGTTCGCGAGTCCGCGCACGCTCGTGCATATAAATGTATGCAGTGATGTTTCACGCGAAGATGCTTCAGCAGTATCAAAATGAATTAAAAACGTATATATGGTCTACACTACAGTATCATAGTTCTGACTGAGTGAGAATTGCAATTGAAATCCATTTCCGTTTGGGGAATAACACAAACACTCATTCACTTGGCAATAAGCAATTAATTAATGGGTTCTAGATGATATTTGGTTGTTGTGCCTATTGCTACCGATGCAAATCGCCGGACCGTTCGCGAGAGAGAGCAAAAATGACCGCATTTCCATTGAAACGGACGCTTTCGGCGCGCACACAAGAGAGCGAGAGAGAGAGAGAGACATTCAGCAAACGAGAGGGACATAGTGAAAAAGAAAGACTGAGAGATCTATTTTTGCATTGCGACCAGAACATGGAACACATATCCATACACACGGAGGCCGAGGCTACTCTTTGTCATGATAATACACGTTTAAATCTCTTTTTTTCCAAACTTCCATCCGTTGCTGTCGCTCTTTCTCTTTCAATCGTCCAATCATTTTGAACATCGGCTGATTGTTCACTCAGTTCGATCAGTTGTGATTTGCAGTGTTCTTGTTAATTCGCAAACACGCTCGCTCTTTTCACTTCAATCTCTCTCTCGGTCTCGTAGCGAGTGTGTGAGATTGTCGCAAATGCGCGCGTATCGCAATCGCATGTTCTTTGTTCTCGTTGTATGTGCTTCAGTTTTGTGTATGTTGTATTTTTTTTCCTTCTTTCATTCGTTTGTCGCCTTTTGCCAATCTTTTATACTACACCACAAATTGTTCTCAATGTGAGATGCTGTTGTTCTAGAATCGCTTCGTGTTCGTTTTTTGCGCGCGCGCGCTCCTGTTTCCAATGTGTGTGTTTGCGCACTTCAACCATATTCGGCAGAGTGAGAGAGAGAAATGCGCTGCGCGCTGCTTATTAAGCACAGTGTATGTACTCTCAAGCTCATTCTTCTTTATGCTACTAAACCTGTTTTCAGCTCATCTATTTTTCTCCTATTGAGCATAGGAGAAACAAAAAACAAAAAAAGAAATCGCACACATAGAGTATATCGAGTTGTGTTCCGTTCTGTTCTTTTCATCGTGCACTCGATGCCATTTCAGAAATTCCAACGCGCTCGATTCTCTTGGTTGTATTTAGCACCGTTCTGAGCATTATTAAAAGAATTTTCACTGATCTTCGTCTTCGTTTTTTTTGCCCTTAGAAACGGTTGTCAGTGGATATGTGTTGTTTTATTTTCCATTCGTTTTGGTGTTGTTAGGCTGCATGAAGACAAACATACAATGCATGTCGTGGCATTCTTCATCAGCTTCTTCTCTTCTGCTGACCGATTCGAAGCACCATTAAATCAAAACTGCACACATACACACTTTCCATAGAGATGAGAAATTATTTTTCGCTGAGATGTTCTCAACGTCAATGTTGCTTACCCAATGCGCGCGTACATCACAAAAAAAAACAACAACAACAACAGTAACAGTAACAAAAATCTGGTGGTTTTTTGTCGACGAAAGAAAAATGGTCGGTCGGTGTTTTTTTTTCACGGATAGCAAAAATAAAATGCTTTCAGTTTAGAGCGTTTTGAAACAAACGGATTTATGTGCAACGCAACAAAGAAAAATCCTCAGAAAAGCGGAAAAGAAAGAGCTGATTATATTGATTGCACGAAAACAAAATAATGGGTGGGCTGTGTGTGGTTAGGCCATGCTATTCATTTCTTGGTACTGATCTAAACCGAATGATGAATGCCCAAGATGTCTTTTGCACCAACTTCTCTCTCTCTCTCTCTCTCTCACTCGGTGTGTGCTTTTTATTATGTTCGCATATTGAAGTGCAGTGCTGTATTAAATTTCTTGCGGAATGAAAATTGATTTGACTGTTCTGTCTCACTCGTTCGCTTGCCTTTCGTCAGGATAATCTTGATTTCATCAACGGGCCGCAGCTACCACAACAATAATAGTAATAATAAAAAATAATACCGAAATGGAACAGCGGAACAAGCGTAAAACCGCTAGAATCCAATGTAACTGGACAAAATGAAATCCGGAAACTATAATTATGAGCACTCGGGCTCACTCACATACACATCCAAAGAACGAATTTCATGTGCGCCCAACATCATCATCACCCAATTCGATAGCCATGTTTTGCAATAGCAAGATAAAGAGCGAACGAACAAAAAAGATCCGGATAAACAATCGGCTCTCATTCATAACATCTTGTTTTCGTTCAATTCAGAACATTTCCGTCATTGGGCTTCGGTCTCAATGAGTTGTTGAGTTCTGTTTTTTATATGTGTTATAGCCGATAATGGCATAGTGTTTCCACTGAATGGTTATACCTCGGTTTTAACCGTATCACTGAGCCAGCGCAGAGCAGAACACAAGTGCAAAAACACGCACCGAACGAGCGAGGGCAAAGCAAAAAAAAAAAGAAATCAAAAATTATTAGCAATAACAAGAACGTAATCATCGTGAATTATTATGATACTGCACATGCGTGATACGACGACATTGATGGTAAAATAAAATATAATCGACAAAAAGTGGGTATCCCATCTTTCTATCTCTCTCTCTCTCTCATCCATCATCATCTCATTCACAATTCGTATCTGGCTTGTGCGCAATGAACAGCATTTGGATTTTTCTCAAATGAACACTCAGAAGAGTGTCCCAAAAGAGACTTTTTCGAATGAACCTTTCATAAATTTAACTGTGTTCTAGTGAGAAATATAGCAATATTTTATGTTCAAATTGTTGCTTTTACTTTGGTCTTTATTTTTGGGAAGAAGAAAAGAACGAAAAAAAAAAATATTTCAATAAATATTGGGTCTCTTGTAAGAGACTCTCTCAAGTGCTCATTTGAGAAGAGTGTAAATGTTGTTCCCTGCTTGTGCGTGATTGTGGAGCGATGTATAAATATTTGTGTTAGGCTTAAATAGATTAACAACGTTCAATTACGTTCGACTGTTCAAAGACACCATCATTGATATGTATTGCAAATAGACACAGCATATAGTCCTAGTTCCGATTGGACGATCGATATATGTTCGCTTATGGTAAAATCAACCATATTTGACTATCCATTTCAGTTTGTGTTGCATTATCTTCGGTCGTATTGTGTAGGTCAGTCCCATTGGAATAGAGAGTGTCAACGACCAGAAGCCAATGCTGAGTCTCTTTGTTTTTCGATTGCATGCGTTTGTTGATTCGTTCGTGTGTGTTTTTTTTTCATGTTCAACTGTCGCTCATTGTCTAATCAAGTCAAACATGGTGATTTTCTCTCCATCGACCAAATCGTACATAGACATGCGACACACAAAACGGCTCCCCTCTGTCCACCCGACATCCAAGCGATTCTACTCGATATGATATGTACGGCTGCTGCTGCTGTTGTTGTTGTGGTTTTTTCTTCATCTAAAACAGGTCAAATTGCCAAGCCAATTAATTATGCGGATGCTTCGATGATCGTTGTCACAATATTACGAACGACAATGTTTTCACCGAAACGTGTTTTCATGGGTTTGTTTGTGTGTCTGTGCGTACTATATTGGTTTACGTGCGCATCTTTTGCACAAAAACAACGAAAAGAAATATTCACATGAAAACGTGTTTCTGTTTCTGTTTCGTTTCGCTTCGGCCAAGTGGAGAAACGTAAACAAACAGTAGCTTCAAACCTTTGGCCCGAAACTTTTTTTCCATATCGATAATGTCTCTCCGTTGGATATATCTGGGAACTGCTCAGCAGGCGAATTCAGATCGATAAAAACATTAAAACGGTGAGATCCGAGCCGGAAAATTTCCCAAACCAAAATGACACATTCTTTTATGCTGAGGATGCTCTCGAAGAATAGACGGGAAGAAAAAAAGAAGAAACACAAACTCAATCATTATGCAGATTGCACCGAAGAGAACTATTGTTGTTATTGCTATTACAACAACAAGACATTTATTATGACAACGGTAATCTGAAGAAATACAAGCAAGCAGAAATGCATTTTGTACCATGTGCTGTTTAGCAAAATTCCTTTCCAGATGTTCTCAGCATACACGCACTTGTATAAACATGTTCTTGTTTTCCATTGCTGTGTGGATTCTTTTAGTTCTATGTCCGTGTGTGTATGTGCTTGTGCTTGCTCGGTTGTGTTTTTCGCTCTCTTTTTTTACCAACAGAGCGACAGAGCGGCAAGTTAATCATTTAGTTTATGGGCTTTCTGTTCTTGTTTTCCTTTATTCCGTTCATTTGCCATTTTTGTGTATCTTTTCTTATCTATTTGGTTTTTTTTTTAATTTCTGGTGCAAGAAATGCGAGCGAACGAACAAGCGTGTGTCTTTTCGTCGTAGTCGTTGTTCGGGGCCAAATTCACCTTTATGAATATCGCATGAAAATTCCAATTGTATTGTGATTCTTTCGAATTCATTAGGCAGTTTTACGGCAATATGATTCGGTGCGAATACACAAAATGAGCCATAAAATTACATGCAAATGCACCCATTTGTGTGGCAGTAAGAGTGCATTACAGAGCTGTTTTGTAATATTGGACCAAACCGATGTGCAGCGGAGAGAAAAATAAAAAGAGCATCACCGAATGCTCAGAACGAAAGAAATGCACAGATTTGAGTATGAGAAATAGACGGAGATAGAAAGAGAAGGGAGGATAGAAAGAGGAAAAGAAAGAGAACTAGATAAGAAGATGCGACGAAGATGATGCCCAACATTAATGCATTTATATTCATTTTGAAACACTTGCATTTTTTATAATGCATACTAAAATATTAATTTAACCAACGTCTCTCTCTTTCTCTCTCTGTCTTTTATTGCAGATTTTCCATGGAAATGCATGAATTTCGACTATGAATAGCTCATCATGTGAAAGGTATGTTTAATATCCAAAGAGAAAAAGTAACAACAACAACAACAACTCACATTCGCTCAATGAATGATCTCCACTGATGCAATCCTTGTGTAATGTGCATATTTACGATAACGTGGGCATTGTGTGTGCGCACACACACTATTCGTTGTGTGTGATTTTGCAATTAAAGGCCCCGGTAATAAAACGGTGTATATGCTCCATTACACACGATTTTAGACGTATAGTTTTGTTGTTGTTGTTATTTTTATTGATATCGGAGAGTAAATTTTCGCGAATGGCAAAATTACTCTCTGCCTCTGTCGCTCCCGATAAACGTCCATGTTCAACTCAGAGCAGCAATTTCTATCGGGATACCAGATCGCTTAATAGTACCTGACCAATTTTCATTGATTTCGTGAAATATTTCGCATTTTTACCGTAAGCCACATTTAATCCCCCATAAAATGTGATGAAACAAAAACATGCTCTTTTTTTATCCTTCTCTCTCTCTCTCTTTCTCTCTCTCTCTCTCCTTTTTGTCCAATTTTGCCAGCACAACTCGAACAAAACGTCGAACTATAATCTAGTTTTCAAAAGCATCGGCGACAAATTGAATTTGAAAATAAAAGGTGGAAATTGTAGCAAAAAAGATTGTATGCCGAAAAAGGGCCAAAAAATAAGGTAAAATTCGTTGAAGGTAGAAAAAATGATTGAAAACAAGGCAAAAAGGCACAAATTGAAAGAAAACACACGAAAATCGAAGTGAAACAGATTCCAAACATAAAAACTGCCACAAATAAAGTAGCGGGTAGCGATGGGTTTAGCAAAAAAACGTTTCAGTCCAAGAAAAAATGTTATATGTCCGTAGCTAATAAAGTTGTTGAGCAAAATGTTCTTTGGGCAAAATTCGATATCACCGAGAAACAATGAAAACGGTTAAATATTGAAATGAAAGAAAGAAAGAAAAAAAAACACGCTACAATCCAATTTTGAACGTTATTTATCCGATACTATGGTTGAAAGTAAACCTGGGTGAGATATGTACATGTTTTCTGAAATGCGTTTGGAACTGTTTTTGGCTGGTTCAAAGTGGGAACTCTCTTTTTCTCTCTCTGTCGCTTTTAGAATCCAAATATCTTGCCTATATACCCAATTGAGGCATGTGTGTGTGTGTGTGTGTGTGTGTTTGTATGAAGTCACCCGAGCGGTTTTTGCGATGTAATTCACCAACTCGATAGGCCTTGAGCAGAACCACTTTATGTTAGCACATTTTATGTTTGAATGCTTTATTATCTCTCTCTCTCTCTCCCTCTCTGTCGTTCTCTCTAATGCCATGCAATTTTAATACACATCGACAATTTTCAATAGAACGAAACTATTTTGTATTTCTGTTTAATACATAGTTTTGTCACTTTGAATCGATTGTCCTTTTGCATTTGGGATTAGCTCATTAAAATTGAATGTCTCATTAAAAATTATGGGCACTCTCGGTTTTGGAATAGTTGAGAGATAATTAATGAATTTTCTAACCATCCCACACAGAATCGACAGCAGCAGCAGCATCGGCTGCGGCCGCTGTGCAATCTAACAAAATCTCTCCAATATCAAGACTCGTTCATTACGTTGAACTCTTCGTGTTTTCCGCTCATTCCATGGAAACCATGGGCCGTCGTGATATGGCGTCAGCAATGGTCACTCATGGCGACGGCGGCGGCGGCGGCGGCGACGACAGTAATGGTCACTCATGGTGACGCCGCATACCTTCCAGCGAAAATACACACCATTTCTCGCATTTCACAAAATATTGGCAGTCTGAACCAAATTCCTGAAAGAATCCAACCGCGTAATTCTTGATCTCTTTTTTCTCTCTTTTCTCCATTTCTTCAGATAAATTACGCCATATTTTCCAAGTCATTATAATCAAACATATTTCCACTAACACTTCTTCTATTACGTTTTGTGTCTCTTTTTTATGCAATTTTTTTCGATTTTTCATTTCAATTCTTCTCCATTTTCCAATCATTTGTTTTTGCTTCTATTCCATCGAATCTCGACCGTATGATTTCATCGTGAAAAATTGAACGAACGAATGAACAAAAAAAGTGGGGAATAGGTGTGAGGGAATTTATTTAGCTGTAATCATAGTGATTGAACTTCACAATTTCAATGATTGGAAGTTCCCAGATTTTTTTTCGCAATCACACACACGTTTTAAGCCAATGGCATTCAATCAAATGATGCAAGAAATGAAATAAATCGCCGTATGCCTTCGTTGGTTTTTTATCTGTATCGTGGTGAGGTCTCCTGAAGAGAGTGATTTGAATTCTCTTCTGCTTTGGTAATAAATTGCAAATTTGATTGGATGAATAATGAAAAAAAAGAAAACAGAACACGAAAGGGAAAAAATGCAAGCAAACGAAAAGAAAAAAGAAAACAAACAATGCACGTAATTCGCATGAAATTCGTCGAGTCAATCGATATTTTAGTCAGCAAGATATCAGTCAGCGTGCACAAAATGCAGATATTCAGAGAGAGAAAAAAAAGCATGATCAGTACAACATGAGAGAAAGACGGTGTTTACACAGAGCGCAACGCGCTCAGAAACAGCGATTAAAACCAAAACCAAGATATTCAGTTGCTCCTCTCTCTCACACACACTCTCTATCTTCGAAGAGAGAATATGATCCACGCGCACCGCAATTTTTGTGTGTGGCATTCCGAATTTGCTTTATCTGGTTGCATTGAGCGAAATGGTTTGGTTTTTTTCGTTCGTTCGTTTATTTATTCGTATGCAATAATCCTATATATTCCGCCTGGTTGTCTATCCCGCGCGCTTGATCGTTTTTAACGCAACAGAGAGACAATATATATACAATATTGAGCGAGCGAGCATTGGTGTGTTCTGTGAACGAACAAACAAAAAATGCACTTTACTATTTTTATACCAATTCGAGTGGTGAATATATTGGTTTTCGAGCCATAGCAGCAACAGCAGCAACACCAGCATCAGCCTCGGCCTCTGTGTCTGGCTGCCTTGCCTTGCCTTGCCGCTTGTTTGTTTCTCTCTATCGAATGGAAATGGTGCGCATTTAAAAATGCCATGAGCGTAATAAATTTTCTTCACGAATCTCCGCGCAAATGTATCCTTAAGCGAAAAAACATGAATCGAGCGGCGGCCTCGCGAAAATCCACTCTCTCTCTCTCTCTCTCTCTCTCTCTCTCTCTCTCTCTCTCTCTCTCTCTCTCTCTCGCGCGCGTTTTGTTTCGTTTTGTCTCTTTTTATTTCTCCTCTTCTCTATCCGTTGTTGTTGTTTTACAGCAAAATCGGTTTTAATGGTGTGTTTGCAAATGCGTACACGCTCATTAAATTGTAACCTGAACATTGCGGCGATGCATAAATGAAAAGTATGTGTTGGAGTACATAATTTTTCGTACAATCGTACTTGTGACTCTTTTTTTTGCTCTGTTCGTTCAAATCAAAAATACAACGTCAAGAAACCAACGGTAGAAAATAAAAACCTACTCATAATGTGGTTGATACATTTAAAGTGAGCGAAAAAAAAACAGACACTGCAACAGCAAAAGCACAGCACAGAACGCAGCAGCCACAGACGAAATCCGATTTCAATGTATATGCGAACTGCAGCTTGCGTTGACTGGCAAACACAAGTGCTGAAACACACGGTGAAAATTGTGTGCACATTTATAATTATTATATAATAATGATTTCTGGTGAACCGATTTTGAACGAAAAGCGAAACGCCGCCACCACTGCCGTTGTTGCCGCCGTTGCAGACGTTAGAAATGTGAGAAGGAAAGAGTGTTTGCACACCAAAATCTGTTTTTCTGTTCACTTCTTCTTGTACATGCCAAATCGCGCGACACAGACGTGCTTACTTGTGCGAACTGAACAATGCACGAGACTGAGAAGTGCAGCGGTATCTACATCTAGTATGTTTGTTGAGACTGTAGTTTTTTTTCTTCTTTCGTTACTTCCTTGCTTGCTGTTGTTTAATCCATAAAAGCGAATCAAATTGTGTGTAGTCTGAGTAGATGTGTTTTTCTTTCATTCTTCTCGCGTACGAGTTGACACCTCAGGCCAAATGAGAAAGATGGCAGCGGCAAATGAGATCATATGCAATTTTTAAAAACAGATCTGGAGAGTTGATTTTTCTCCATCAAGTCATCAGAGGAAGAAAAAAAGAACACACACACACACCGCGCCGTGGAAAAAATGATCCGACCAGACTATGACTAAATATGTCGTTCATTAATTTAAAATTTGCAATGCTCGTCATGGAACAATATGTCCTAAACGAATTGAAAACGATCGAATGTATAAACGGAAACTGAACCGAATGGGAAGCGTGTGCGTGTGTGTGTGTGTGTGTTTTCGCGCGAATGTATAAGCACAAAAAAAAAACTCTACTCATAATCCACACGAATGTTTGATTCAATTTTTCTTTTTCATTCATTTTTTTGTGAGTATTTTTTTCGCTGAATTTTTTGCCGTCGCACACATTATTGGATTATATATTCTGCTGATTTTCGCTTGGAATCTTTTTTCTCCTTTTAATACGGCTTTTGATTCATAATATGAATTTCATATTTCTGTTTGTTTTCAATGTTTGGTTGACGCATTTGTTATTCGAGCGCTTTTGAATCACATTCGCCACGCATAAATCGAAGATTATAAAAATAATTGAAATCAATTGAGTGCCGCGTACTGAATGTACGCGACAGACTCATTTCGATTGGGTCGTTCATTTTTAACAAGAAACGGAAACAGCAAAGTTACTACGCAGTACGCTGATCAAAATTGGTTGCTGGCTTGTGAGCCGTGAGGCAAACGAAATCATCGGTTCGAATTGTGTGGAAATTGGTGAGCGGCGGCGGCGACGGTGAATTTTCGTATGATGCTCGCTCGGGGCACACATCATTCTCTCTGCTCGGTGTATATATGTGTGTACACTCTCTCAAACGGTCAAAAGCATTGAAATCTAATGTGATACCAATCGTGC